AATTTTTATAAAAACTTTTTAAAAATAAACTTGTTTTTTTGATACTGTATTTTTTACTTAAATTACATCACTTACATTATCGAGGTTATCATGATTTTTTTCTATTATTAAGAGTTAGAGTTACGTAACAAAAAAATTGCATAAGTATTGAACTCATTCATTAAAAATAATTACCAAAGAAATTTTTTTAAAACTGGTGGCACTCTTCCTGAGTGATTTTTTAGAACATTCATGAAAGTTTTCAAACCGGAAATAATTTTTTCGCAAGACCAAGAGAAACTTCAGAAAAATATTTTAGTTTTACATCTTTATAATTACTTAATTGAGTAATTGATTTGTTGAAGTTTCTATTTACACTTCTTACGTTTATGTGTATTGCTTTATTTTTAAAAGATTGAATTTTTATAATGCTGCTAAGCAGAGCCAGCGCGAGTAGGGGTCACGTGGGTGGGTCACGTGTGCCATAACATCTTTTGCCGTCTTAAAAAAAAAAAAAAATGTAAAAAAAAAGGTTCTCGTTTTTTAAATATTACTGACTGCCATAACAACATTTGCCAACTGACTTAACCGACTAACCTATCGACAGGGTCTACATTTGCCGACTAGCTAGTCAGAAAGGGTCACATTTGCCGACTAAAAATCATTGATGGGGAAGGGGGGTGTCACCCCCCCCCATTGCGCCGGCTTTGCTACTAAGTTAAATTTTTAAATATATAAATCTTTTCTAAACATCTATATGTTCCCCAAAATAATAGTACATAAAAAAACAAAACAAAAAAAACAATAAAATAATTTTAACACATATGAAAAAAAAAAGTTTTTTTTTTAATTCTTCTTATATAAAAAGTTTCAGTTAAAACCTTGTCAAGCCAACAGGAAGAAATAATAATTACTTATTGACATAATTCATTTAGTAAATAAAAACTTAACGAAAAAACGCCAGAATTTTATTAAATGCATGAAAACAAATAAAAATATATATATTTATATATTATTTTTATCTTTTTATTTTATCATTAATTACAAATATATATATGTGCATTATTGTTAGGTTTTAATTTTCTCATAAATAATTGTAATAATAAATTATTATTAATTAAAAAAAAAACAATAAGATGACTCATTAGTTTGATTTTTTCAGCGCGTTTTTAAAATGCGTCATTTTTAACAATGCAAAAAAAATCGTGGCCACGCTATCAACAAAAAAATATATATGCGTGGTCATTCAAGGCGTGCGACCGCACGCGTCTCCTGAGAAGGCCTGGTATATATGTATGTGTGTGTGTGTATGTGTACAGGTCAGGGTATGTGTGTATATATGTATGTGTGTATATATATATTTTAGCACTTTGTCTTTACTTTATTTGTATACTATTTTTTTATTGTTTGCCATTTAATTTTATTGTTGATTTTATTATTTTATTAAAGCTTATTATCTTGTATCTATATGAACATCTATAGCTTGATTGATTAGAGTGTCAACCTGGTAATCATTGAGCTCCAGGTTCAATTGCCGCTCTGAGTATATTATATTAAACTTAGTATTTTAACTTCGTTTTTTATACCTTGCACGTTGGTTATGATTTTCCATTTAGAATCTGAGTTTATAATTTTAATTACATGCGCGATGTCTAAATTATCATTATTATTTCTTTAATATACACTTTACTTCGGTATATTTATTTTGCTTTGAACATCTATTCATAATATCTTTTTAATTTTATTTGTTTATCCTTTCTCTATTCCTAAATTTTTCCTTATTTCACTTTGAGCTTGACAGCACTCGGTCTAGTCCTTTGATGCAAATTTTTACATTTTTTTAAATAGTATTGATAATCCTAAATATAATTTATTATAAACTTTCATTTAATGAATTTTAGTCAAATTTCACTAAATCTAAAATTAACAAAATCATTAAAAAATATTGTAAAAATGTTATAATTAATTTAATTTTCACAACCAACAAATTGCAAAATAGTTTTTGTATAAAAAATCCACTTAATAATGTTGTGGATCTTTTATACAAAAGATCCACAACATTAGGAAAAAAACTCAAATCTAATGTTGTTTACAATTTTCTTGTGCTGACTGTAATGCCAGTTGTATAGGAGAAACCTCCAGACAATTAATAGCAAGGATTTATGAGCACCTTAATATTGACAAACAATCTACGGTTTATAAGCATTTAATTTCATCTGTTTATTTTAAAAATCTAAGTAACTATAAATGTTTTAAAATTTTGAATACTGCTCCTAACAAAAACAAATTGAAAATTAAAGAAGCACTCCATATTTAATGGAAAAACCCATCTTTAAATAAACAAACTGCTCTTTATAATACAAATTTGTCAAGTTTATTTTATTTACTTATTATTTTTATGATATTTACGGCATCATAATTTGTATTATAATCTTTATTGATTTATAACAATTTTATTTTTCAGTTAATATTTCTCTGTAATTTTCTTCAAATTTTGATTTTATATTCCAAATTTTAAATGTAATTTTTTCTTTTGAAAATATAGTATGTAAACTACAAAACATGTCAAGATTAAAAAATATTGTGTTTTTCTTAAAAATATTTTCATATATATATATATATATACACACACACAGATATATATATATATATATATATATATATATATATATATATATATATATATATATATATATATATATCTGTGTGTGTTATATATATATAACATGTCAAGATTAAAAAATATTGTGTTTTTCTTAAAAATATTTTCATATATATATATATATATATATATATATATATATATATATTATATATATATATATATATATATACACACACACAGATATATATATATATATATATATATATATATATATATATATATATATATATATATATATATATATCTGTGTGTGTTATATATATATAACATGTCAAGATTAAAAAATATTGTGTTTTTCTTAAAAATATTTTCATATATATATATATATATATATATATATATATATATATATATATATATATATATATATATATATATATATATATATATATATATACACACACACAGATATATATATATATATATATACATATATATATATATAATATATATATATATATATATATATATATATATATATATATATATATATATATATATATATATATATATATATATATATATATATATATATATATATATATATTTAAACAATTTAAAATGTATTCTACAAAAAGAGTGCACAATGTTCTTAAAAGAACAGAGCAATTACAAATTAGTAGAAAATCACTTAGCAAAATTTTTTCTTATTTAACACTGTGTTTCATCAATAAAGACTCATCAGAAATGAATGATCAAATTAATAAAACTTACAATGATCAAATTAATAAAAATTACAGGAAGTCACATGTCTTAACTACTGCAATTTTTCACACATTTGTGTAATTTGCTGACACTATTGTAAAAAGAATTCTTAAGAAATGATTACTTAAGCTTTTTTAAAAAATAATATACTTTTTTCAATGGGGAGTTAATGTAACTATTAATTGAGCTCACTTATTTTTATAGTTTTTTAGGAGAAACTTATTTTCGTGCCTGCATTTAGAAATCAATTCCGATTTTTTGTTTAATAAACATTCTTGGTTTGTATGTGTAACTATTTCAAATTTTTCTTGTAGACATAGTATGCATTTTTTGGAAATATTGTTATATGCAGGCACTGTTTTAAGGATGGACCAATTCAGTGTAAAATCATCAATATTTTTATCTTTTAATTCCCATATATATTTTGACAGCATGGTGTCTTTTGAATACTTTTTATTTTTAAAAGATTGCTTATGATTGGCAAAACGTGTTTTCCATTCACCTTCTGTTATGCCAATATATTGTTTATCAGGTACATTCTTAGAGGAGACAACACATTTATATACCACATTTTTTAATAAGCAACTTCCACTCATTGGACTATTGTTTTTTTGTTTACAATTACAATTTTCTGTAGTTTTTTCATTTTGGATTTCTTTTTTGTTTAACAAAGCATTGTTGTGACCTTTTTTTAATTCTTTCCATATTTTTTGTGCAACTGTAGCTAACTTTAATAGTATTTCGATTAAAAATTCTATGTAATTTATTAGAGGGCGGGAAATGCTTATCGATCAATTTTAAAAACACTTTTCCTATGTTTGTGGAAACTTTTTTGCTATATTGGGGGTTGAACCAAATTACATTTCTAGTTCTATTTCGCTTTTTTGTATTCTTATTTTCAGGGTCAAATTTTAATTCAAAGTTTTCAAAACCACATTTTTTAAGGGCATCTTCAAATATCTGTTTGGAGGAATTGAATACATTTTCATTAGAGGAGTTTTGGTTAAGCCAGTTATTAATTGAAATCGGGATTTGTTTTAGAATTTGGGGTGGATGATTTGAGTTAATATTAATATACAATAATTCATTGTTTGGTTTTTTAAAAAGCTTATATGTATTTTCCGAGAGTTAAATGTGACATCAAGAAAGTTCACAATTTTTAAATTTATAATTATTTCAATTTGAAAGCCAATATTTATAACAATTTTTATAATATCTTTTCTAATTTTATCAAGCTGTGGACCAGATTTTTTACACATTACTATTAAACCATCGTCGCGATAAAGGCCTAAATCATTTATATTGATTATTTTACTTAATAAATCTAAAATATATAATCCAACAAATTCACAAATTTCTGCTCCATCATAACTGCCCATTGTTACATACATACACACACACACACACACACACAGATATATATATATATATATATATATATATATATATATATATATATATATATATATAAATATATATATATATATATATATATATATATATATATATATATATATATATATATATATATATACATATATATATATATATATATACATATATATATATATATATACATATATATATATATATATACATATATAATTTATATTTAAATTATAACTTTATGCTTGAAACTTTGAAAACAAACCTTCTTGATTCAAATTCTTCTTGTTTGTCTATTTTTTTCACAATCTTTTTAGTAACAGGCATTTTAAGAGTATCAACAAATGGAGTAGCTTCCTAAAAAATTATAATTTGATTTTTGAAACATTATTGAAATTATTGAATTATTGAAACTGTTGAGAAGACTAATTAATTTTTTATTTTATTTGAAATTTTTTTATGTTTTTGACTCTAACTTAACAACCTTTTAGTGACATAATTTTAATTTATCATTCACTGATATATATTCTTATATTTTTAAAAAAACCAAACAAATTCCAAACATTTATAAGCAACCTTATCATCGGCAAACTTTGCATACATGATTCCATTCCATTCGCCGCTAACAGATAGAATTGGTTTTTTTTGATTTGGTGCGCTATAATACAAAAAAAACAAACAACAACAAACAATTTAAAATCCAATAATAAAGTATAATTAAAATGTTGAACTCGGGAATTTAAATATAATAAAAATTTATATTCAATAATGATTCATCTATCTTTCTTATTTTCTTTGCTCAAAAAGAAGTTAATTTCTTAATATTTCAAATTTTTGGTGATTAAACAATAAACAGTTTAAACAATTTTTGGAGTTTAACAAAATTTTATGTTTGAATTTGAATTTTTAAATTGTAACTAATAAATATAAAATAAATCTGTGTTCTATATGTCAAAATATAGTACAGGTAGACTGCTTTATTTAAAAACAGTAGAAAGCTTCAAAAATACCCACTTAAACTGCATACACAGCTAAGAATATTGAGCTAGTGCGTGCCATTATTAAAAAGAACTCTCAATATTTAATTGAAGCCTTGATATTGAGTAACTGGTTTACAAAAAATGAAATTATTCGCAATTCTCTTAAAAAAAAAGTTTAATTTAAAACATGTTAGACCTAGTCAACTAACACTAGTCTAAAAAATGTAGAAAGGTTTGAGCCAAAAAAGATCGTCTACACCTTCTTTAAAACATCAGGTGTGGTTCATTTGGGTTTTGTTCTAAAGAGGGACACCATTAATGGTCAATATTGGGTGAGGAATTGTTTAAAACCCATTATACACAAATTAAATAGACAAAGAATTTCAACAGAAAAAAGTTTTAAATTTCATGAAAAACTATCACCAATTATTTTAATTGAACTCTACCACCTGCTGTATTGACATTCTTTAGTTTCATTTCAATGTTTACACTACAATGCAAAGTATTCATCATGGAAGTTTTGCAAAAAATATATTTTTTTTGATATCTTTAAGCAACTTTTTATATATATACATAAATCATCAACATATGAAAAAAAAATTTTCGGCATTATTTGTACAGACCTTAAACATAATAAGTAAATTAAATTAAGTATGTGTGCACATACAAACATATTGAATTTAGCACTTAATTTAACACTTTAATACAAAAAAAAAAAGAAAAGAAAAAGTTAGCTGAGTGTAGTTTTGGTTGCTTAAGGGTTACAATTTCATTTTAACACTGACAAATTATTTGTAACAAATTACTTTATTTTAAATAAGAAATCTTTTAAGTACATTTTTTGATTTTTTTTCTTTTGCCTTTTTAACTTTAATGTTAAACTTTTACCTAGAAATTTTACAAAGTCTTGATGAACAAGACTGCTGCAAGAATAAACAAGTTTATAAAATAAAAAACTAAACTTACAAAACTTCAGCAGTAATTCTATTTCGCTTTCCACCATAAAATGGCTGAATAATAAAAAAAAACATTATCATCATCATTATTATGATCATGATCATGATAATCATCATGATCATGATCATGATCATCATCATCATCATCATCATCATCATCATCATCATCATCATCATCATCATCATCATCATCATCATCAGCAACATCAAAATTTATCAAAATAAAAAAAAATACCTTAGTATGTAGTTCTATCTGTGAAGAATACCCAGATTTTGCACATGTGATCTCAGTACGACCACCAAGCTCCACCCAGGGTACAGTTAATATTGATCTAAAATCATATAATTCATTTGCGTTACTATATTTTTATTATCATAAAATGAGTTTTTTATTACCATAAAAAGTGTTTTTGTTATGATAAGTGAATCCTATTTAAGAAGTCTTATAGAATCCTACAGGATTTTAGATAAAACCTTTTTAGTTAATTCATTTCAATTTTAGTTAATTTAGTTTCAATTTTAACAAATATCAAATAATTAAATTGAAAAAAAAAAAAAAAATCACTATTCTAAAGTTTAAAGTCTTATATAATTATATCTATATTTGTACAAACAACTCTGCACACTTAGCATTGCATGAAACACCATTGATGAGATCATATTAAAACAGCCATCTGCAGAAGTTTTAGTACATATATTAAGTAAGGGTTAGGGAAGGTACTATCTAATCGTGAGGGACATTTACTATGGAAACTTTTTTTTAAATGTTTTTCCCTTTTTGTCTGGAATAAGTTTACATTTTAAAACTTATGCAAAATATATTTGAACAGCGCACATCAAAAACATATTCAAAAAGATTTATATACATAACTATTCTTGGTTGTTTGTGTTCAATTTTGAGCTAATAAAAAAAAGTCTAATGGTGAACACCAAAAAAAAAAAAAACTAAAATTAATGTGATTTTGGGGTACACCTTAATTAGAAACTATTTGAAAATATTTTTTAACAAATATAAATTGTACTTCTTTGTTTGTACATCTTGTTTTGAATTTTAACTGCTTTTAAAAAAGATTAAAAGAACTTCATTGTAGTAGTAAACCCCTCCCCTGGTTTCCAGGTGGTAATTTAGTGAAAGACAAAACATACAAAAAAAAACAACAAAAAAACATTCAATTCAAATGTAGATTAACAAAATAAAATAAAAATAGTACCTGCCATATGCATTTGGGAATGTCATTATATATTCTTCATCATGATCACTCACAAAAACACTTCCTTAACCACAAAAAACAAATTGTATATTGCAATGATGGAAAGATAAATGTTTTTAAAATATATTTGCATTTAACAAAATATCAGAAAGTCTTTATTGAACATATTACTGAATTTTTTTTTCTCTTTTTTTGTTTTTGTTTTATATTGTGTAAAGATATATCATAAATAATAATAACAAAAAAAAAAGAGATTTATTGTTATTTAAATCTATATTTATTTTTTAAAATACTTTAAAAATAAAAATAACAATATAAATTAAAATATATATGTATTAAAAAAACAGAAATTTCTAAAAAGATTTTAGATTAGAGTTTTACCACTTCCCATCATATGAACTCCGATAGATAGACCAAGGAATTTTGATTTTGTCCAAATTTGGGAATTAAAGCAAATCCTTTTGCTCTCACATTCAGCATAAAACGCTGAAACTAAAAAATTTTAAACACAAACAGTTAAAATAAAACTAAAATAAATCTAAACTAAATCTAAACAGATAATCAGAAACAAATTTTACAAACAAGGGTGTTTTAAATGTTTTAATGGAAAACTGGGTCAATAAAATCCTAACAAAAAATGATTGCAATATGAAAATATTTATACAAAAAGTTTTTACTAGTTGCAAAACTGTTTTTTATTTCTGTTTTTATTTTTAACCAATAAATAAAAGTTAAAAGAAAAAAACTTAAAATAAAACAATTTTAATCCAAATTTTTTCTGACTTAAAAAAGCAGATTTTTGTATTTTATAATCTTGCATACTAAAAAGTATTTTTAATGTCTCCAATTTTTTTAGCGTTAGTCTCAACAATTCAACATCTAACTGTGTAAAAAATGACCAATCAGTCATATTCCAGTGTAACTGCATCATAAACATGACAATTGTCATAAGGTTTATTATTGTTTATTAAATTATTAATAAATAATAAATATTAGTATTAATATAGTTCATAATAAATACTTTAAGCATCTAAAAATCAAATCTACTAACTTTACTTTTTTTTAAAAAAAAGAACACAAACTTGGAGGATGATGAGATACTTGTTCTGCTAGAAAAGTAACGTCATCTTTTGTTGCCCAGGGTATGGGACCACTTGAAGCCAAGTTATCCTTAAGAACATTTTAATCAATAAATAATATTGTGTCAATTGTCAATTTAAACAAAAAATGTGTTAAATGTAAAGTACCTGACTTTGTGCAACATTATTTTCTCTGCATTTATAAAAACACTGGAAAATTTCACCTAAAATTGGGTTATAAGGCTTCTTTGCAACAGAACCCTAATATTAAAAATTAACAAAAACTATATATATATATATATATATATATATATATATATATATATATATATATATATATATATATATATATATATATATATATATATATATATACAAGGGTTGAATTAAGGCATCGCGATTTGCGATATCTGTTAAATTATCTGGTCTTCAAAGTTTCAGTTTATGGAAAACCACGAAATTTACGGAATAGGCGAATAAACTTTAATTTGTTTGTGAAAATGTTATGAAAAACAAAACATTAAATTTATGACTACAAAAGTATTAATACTACAGTGTTGTTACTTTTATAACACTCTTTTATGTTACATTTATAGTTTATTGTTTGATTAAACAACACATAATCAAGATATTATAAATAAAAATGATTTAGTTAAGTAATTCCAAACTTTAATTATAGTAGTAATGCATCTTGAAAAAATACAATGGATATTTAAACAATGTTAAAAACCTCAGCAACTTTTACGAATACATATTTTTATAAACAGTTAAGCATTTTTAAACATCTTACTAACAGTCCGGAAAAAACGCGCGTTCACTTTAAAATCAACCAATAAAAAAACTGGTAATTTTCTTCTTAGGAGAAATCTATATTAAAAGGGGAGGGGGGGAGGAGGCTATAAACTTAAATTTTCTTTTATTATTTAATCAATTAAATCGTAATAAAAGTCAAGACAAAAAAATATATTTCTAAATATACTTCTTTATAACTAAAATTTATTAAATTGAACACCTCTGTTTTTAGTTTTAAGTAAATGTCAGTACTACTCTCAGTGGCGAAACTGCGGGGGAGGGGGCAGAGGGGCTTTGGTTAACAGACAAAAAGTGTCCTGATTTTAAACTAATTTTAGGTTGCATGGGCGATATGGGGCTGATTTTGAAAATCGTGTTATTTGTTTATAACAAGTCACTTGTTATAAACAAAAAACTATATCTCAAAACAAAAATTCAGTGAAAATTGGCCTTAAAATTAAAAAATATATATATTGGTAACCAATAAATAATAAAACTTTCATTGTAAATCCTCCTTCTTTTTTTATTATTTCCTCCTCCCATTTTATACATCCTAAAATTAGCTTAAAAATAGGACACTTTTTGTCTGCTACCCCCCCCCCCCCACTGCAGTTTCGCCACTGATTGTTTTGTTTTTCATAACATTTTCACTAACAAATTAAAGTTTATTCGCCTATTCCGTAAATTTCGTGGTTTTCTATAAACTGAAACTTTGAAGACCAGATAATTTAACAGATATCGCAAATCGCGATGCGTTAATTCAACCCTTGATATATATATATATATATATATATATATATATATATATATATATATATATATATATATATATATATATATATAAAATAGTATTGCGTACTAAGGTAAGCAATCTGATGTCATACTGAAATAGCCTGCTACTGGGGGCTTCAGTACATACATCGACTGACAAATAGCCTGACTTGCAGTGGAGTGCTGCTACATTGACTGAGGGTTTGGGATGGGGCAGCAATCGTTTCATTCATCATTCTTCATTTTTTTTTCTTCTTCTTCTAAAAAAGCTTATAAAAATACGCTTTAGTAAGTGTGTATATATATATAGATGAATATATATATAGATGAATATATATATATATATATATATATATATATATATATATATATATATATATATATATATATATATATATATATATAAATTATGACATAAAAAAAAATAAAATCAGCTATAGAGTTTCTTTTTGATAAAACATTTAGTAGACAGAAAAATTAGTTATAAAGCTAATTTTTTTCAAACAAAAAGAAATTCAACCTTTTCTAAAAGTTAAACTGTACACAAAAAAAACACCTTTCGCCCAGCATGAAATGAGGAGAGATACCATTTTAAAACTTGAATCATTCGATCACCTGGGTCTTTGATATCAGGAATTCTTAAAAATGATACCAATAATATAGTAATAATGTATAACTATTTATATAATATATTATATAACTAATAATAATTCTTTAATAAAAGTGATTAAGATAACTCCACCAGTATCATTTCTTTTATTTTTATATCTCCCTTAAGAATGATTTCAACATTCATAAAGATATACACTTATGTATAAATTACACATATGAGGTTCATATACCATTTTAAAGAGGATAAAACTCTGCTGATAAAAAAACATTTCAAAAAAAAAAATTGAAAAAAAATCAAAATTTATTTCTTGGGCAACCACCTTAAATTTTGTTGTCATTTGCAAGTATTTTAATTTGTTTTTGTTTGCCCTCATATTGAAATATTATATTTTAAAAATAAATATATTTAGAGAACTTGTTGAAACTCTTGATTTGATGAATCCTCAGATTATGATAACTTTTTTCATAAAATGATGATTATTATTTGAAGTTTTTATATAATTTTGCTTCTTTTGAGACCCACCACGATTTTGAAGAACCATTTTTTTGACAATTATAGGGACCCGTCTGATGTTTAAAGGTCTCGAGCTACCCCTAAAAATATATTTTTTTGTTTAAATTTTTTAATTCTAGTATTATTTTATTATATAGAACACATTTAGAGGTTGGGGGCAGACATTTAAAAATAAAGTGTATATTTTTATGTTTTCCACCAGTATTATTACTTTTATTTTTATATCTCCCTTAAGAATGATTAACTTATAGGAAATTTTTATTGGAACAGAGCAGAAAAATCCAATCATGTAACATAAAAATTGCACATCTTAAATTTTTTTGTTACATGAATGGAAATTTTTTTTTTGTTCAGTTCCATGAAAAATTTCCTGAGCGGAAATCAGCCTTTAGTGTTGTATTTTTATTTCTTTTTCAGTGTTGTATTTTTATATTATTTTTATCATTAATGTAATACTATTGAGTTTTTAATTTAATTAGAGAATAATTTAAATAATTTAAATAAAAAAAAGAAAAACTTTCTCAGATAATTTCATAATAGCAGTTTTTCACGCTAAAAACGTATTTTTTAGAGTTATGAGAATTTTTATTTGTTTATTAAAAAGCTTAAAAATATGTCTTTTTTATAAAAATTAATTTTATTTTTGTTTTTTTAGTTCTAACCACTGCAAACTTGAAGGGTTATGTACTGTATCATTTATATTCTATTTATAAATCTTATATACATTTAGATGTTTACTTTTAACTATATTCTTTTTTTTTTTAATTCTTTAAATTTATTTTTCCCATAAAAGATAAAACTAAAGAAATAGAAATATAAAATATAACTAGATAAATATAAATAGATAACTTTCTTTTAGTTTAGTTTCCCTTATGTTGAAATATGATTTTGATTTAGCCAATTTTAATAATTTGAAATTTACTATTATATTTACTAGCAGTAAGAAAAATTGAATACAACAGAATAAGGGTAAGAATAGTTTTTAAGCCTCCAAATATCCCTATGTTTATAGATGTCATCAGTGAAATTTTGTGCGCACCTAAGCATTTAGTTCATATCTAAATTAATATCTAAACATTTATTTCTATACTTTCACAGCTTTAGTCAACCCCAAATAGTAAACATGTTTGGTTTAGACCATAGTGCAATATGTGGTTAACACACACTAAACCGCACATGTGATTTCAGCAAGTTTTCATAACGTTATTATGGAAAAAATCAATATCTATAGGTTATGAGTTCCTCCTACAAATATCATCCTTACATTCAGGGTTTTATATTACACTTTTACCATTCCTAGGTAAGTTACCTTCATTGCTAAGGCATATGTTTTTTCTGAATAAAAATTTTTTAACAAACTAATAAATTATTTTTCTTTAGCTAAAATATATTTTCACCAAACTATGAATGATATACTTAAATAGTTGACATACTTACTGTTTGAATAAATCTGGATGTGCGAAAAAATCAGCATACATCTCTAGTAAAGATCTGCGCTCAAGTATAAAGGTAGGAAGAGTGACCTTTAGAAAAATCAATGCAAAAAGCAGTACATAATATATTAATTTTCAATTAAACTATTTAATTTAAAACGTAATATAAGTCAAATAATGTATGTATATATA